ATTTCGCCCAGTTGTCATGTCCAAGGTGTGTCACTTGGTGAGCTATAGCCCAGGTGAAAGACCCCGTTCTGCAATAATTATACCAACCCCTGAAAATTGGATATATTTCTCATAGTGCTGGAATCAAACAACAATCACTTTCCCCGACCAGGGCTGGCCTTCGTCGGAACCAAAAAGAATTTCGTTATCTTCAGGCTCCTTCTCAACTTTGCTCCTTCAGGTGGCCCGGAAGGCAGCTAGCTAGAGATCATGACTTGGGAAGGGGAAGAAATTTAGTGGCATCAAGTAGTGGCTGGTTCAGTCAAGCTCGGAATCTTTTCTAACCTGAATCCATTGTCATTGCGCACATCAAAAACATCTACAATCTTGTTGGTTTGAATGGTTCCTCAAGGAGGACTTTTTCCAGCGCGTTGGGCCCCATCAACAATTGACCAAAGCTTGTGGCAGAACAATGTCGCCATCATCAGAAGATGACTCCTGATCCATGTCATCCTCATGACCCATGGACAAGTCAAAAATTTTCCGGCGAGTTGGCACAGTCCAGGTGCCAGCCATCAAAGATTCAGCACGCATTTCAGGGATGTAACGGTAGCCCAAAATGGGATACGATGCAGGCCTGGGATGCTTGGGCAAAATTCCTTGGACCCATTTCAACAAATAAGTAGTAGCATCCGAATTAAGAGTGCCAGCTCGATGATTTTTTGGGACATACCGGAGAATGTTTTTCTTCACCGGGTCTGAAATCTTCCGCCTGTCAGCTTGGCCGTTTGGCAAGTAATGCCCCGTTCGAAGCTGTTTCGCCACACCAGCTGGCATCACACAGATCACTCGAGACATTTGGGTATCAGCCAGCCACCTTTTTGTAATCAAGAAAATGTCTTCGGGATGTCTGTCACCAGACTTGTACTCCTCAATCTCGGAAACATTGTCCAAAATATCAGAACCCATATCTTTCCGCTCGCAAAACCGTAGGTAATGCACATGTCGCATGCCTTTGATCGAAACTCCAGCTTGCGTCACAAAATCTTTCCAGCGAGTTACCTCATCGAGCTTGTATGCGAAACAAGTTGATTTCAGAATTTGTGGTTCTGTCATTGTCGAAGTTCCGGATCTTTTGGTCACATTGTTCAGCAAGTCAACCATGGCATTAGCTGTGAAGACCGATTTTCCTTGAAGAAGCCGAGACAGTTGTCCAAAAACTTGGTCAACATCTTCATGGGAATGGGATTTTCTCAAAATCCCTGGGATGTAGATCTGAAAATTTTCAAAGCTACTAGCAACATCATGAAGCATGCCACAAATTGGTTTTTCGCTTCTCTAAAGCAATTGTCGCTCTGGCAATGTAGGTGTAGAGATGTGGCGTCATTGACAGCAAATCCGATAAGGCACGTGCCAGTTGCTCGACTTGCGTCTCTGAGTTCTTTTTCACATTCTCGTCTGTCACACTGAGAAACAGCCGGCCTCCGTGAGCCCACGTTGCTGCCAGATGCAGCGCTGGTCTGTACAATGCTTCCAATGACTTAGGCAAGCGAACATACCCCCATTTGGGTATTCTCAGCTTCGATTGGTCCATGCCATCTTGGATTATTGTCAATATAGAAGATCCCAACTCCAGTGAATTCATCTTCGAAGCCCCCATTGAAAGTCCCTGGGAATAGAATTGCCGACTAAGCTCCCGCATTCTCCAGTAAAATTGCCTATCTCTCCATTGACTGAAAAGGTGGCTACTGTAGGATCTAGTCCACTCCAGCCTTTCTGCCTTGCTCAGTGCCTTTTTGATTTTCATCTTGTACCGAAAGCAAATTTCACATTGTCCAAACTCTGTTTTGTCTCGAAATTTCAAATGGGAACTGAATACCCGATTGAAAACACGCATGAATGTTGACAAAGAAGCGGGTCTGACATTTTCAGAATCGCTGTAAGCAGTATACTGCATGTAGAGATCGATGGGCTTTGCATATTCTAAATATCTGCGTGGACCTTGGAAAGTCCCTGGTCCAATTTGGCCAGGGTGGCTGAGTTCAAAGTGTTTCTCCAAGTTTTGCAAAAAGCCGCATGTAAACCTCTCGGAAAAATCTGGGTCCCTTTCCAGCATTTGCGTTTGCCACGAATCTGGCATGACAAACTTTGTTGGTAGCACTTCCGCAGCGCTGATATACAACAGCCAAAAGAAACTCACTATGTGAGGCCATTGCATGTGTTCAGACTTTCTTTTCATAGACACCTTCAGTACATCATGCTTGGGCTCGCTCAACCTCCTCTCATGCATAGCGTAAGCTGGCAAATTCTGGCGAATGTTTTGTAGTGCCACAGAACCAATCCCATACAATCTCTGGTGCGCTCGGCTACACACATGTCGACCCAGAAACGTGAATTGGGTAGTAGATGTTCTAGTGGCGTACTTCCTGCGTTTAATTTCAGGTTCTTCTCGGTCTTCATCAGATGATTGGAGCAATACCCCGCCAGAATCATCAGGGTCAGAAACTTTGCTACCACAAGATTCAGAATCACTCTGATCCAAAATTTCCCGACCAACAGTGTCATCATCATCGCTGCTTTGGTACAAAACCGTATCTAGTTTCTGACCAGTCTGGGTTGACAAATCTGCGACCGGAATGTTATACCACTTCCTCACCAACTCTTCCTAAATGGCGGCTCGGAGGTTTTGAACAAAAGATCTCTAAAGCCTGCAGTAAATCAAGAGCAGTATTGGCTGGTTTTTCAATGACTGGCTACAGAGCCCTCTGCTGGTTATGTTTGGACAGGGGCAAGCAAAATTTAAAAATTGAATTACTTTACTTCGAGTGATCCCCACCGTGACATTATTATGTCATAGTTTCTGACATCTTATATGGAAGTATATATGGCATATATCTTATGACATTCTTTCTGGCATCTTCTCGGGCACCTATTTTGACATCCTATCTGGCAACTTCTCTGGCATTCTTTCTGAAATTCTGTTGTTATTTATGGGCATCTATTCTGGCATTCTCTCTGGCATTCTATCTGGCTTTCTATTCTGGCATTCTATCTGGCATCTATTCTGACTTTCTATCTGGCTCTATTTGACTTTCGTATTCTGACCATCAATCTGGCATTTTTCATATATATGTTATTTTTTAAATTTATAATTATTTATCTGGCATTGTCTGGTATGTTTCGACATTCTATTCTGGTACTTTGTGACATTCCTCTGGCTTATGGGCCAGTGGCCACTGAAATCTGCTGCTCACGGTTGGGGCCGCAGCTGCCCACTGAGATCTGGTCTGGAAAGGTGAAGAAGGAGGAAGGAGGAAGGAGGAAGGAGGAAGGAGGAAGGAGGAAGGAGGAAGGAGGAAGGAAGAAGGAGGAAGGAAGAAGGAAGAAGGAAGAAGGAAGAAGGAAGAAGGAAGAAGGAAGAAGGAAGAAGGAAGAAGGAAGAAGGAAGAAGGAAGAAGGAGGAAGGAGGAAGGAGGAAGGAGGAAGGAGGAAGGAGGAAGGAGGAAGGAAGAAGGAAGAAGGAAGAAGGAAGAAGGAAGAAGGAAGAAGGAGGAAGGAGGAAGGAGGAAGGAGGAAGGAGGAAGGAGGAAGGAGGAAGGAGGAAGGAGGAAAAGGAAAAGGAAAAGGAAAAGGAAAAGGAGAAGGAAGGAAGGAAAAGGAAAAGGAAAAGAAAAAGGAACAGGAAAAGGAACAGGAAGGAAGGAAGGAAGGAAGGAAGGAAGGAAGGCGCTGGAGCCCGCGGTTGAAGTCCGGCATGGTGCTGGAAGGTGGAAGCAGGAGGAAGGAGAAGGAAGGAAGGAAGGAAGGCAGGCAGGCAGGCAAGGAGGGAGGGATGGAGGGAGGGAGGAAGGAAGGAGGCAAGCAACTCTGATAAAACCTAGAGACCCTCACTTGGCGGGTGCGGAACAAGAACAGCGAGAATGCAAGCATCTTTGCGGAAACCATCCAGTTGGTGATATCGCTCACGCTCGGCATGGACTTGTTCTTCTTGTTCTTGAAATTGTGTGAAACAGGACTTGGCTCCGCATAGGCATGGCTGAGACAGCAAAGTTGCGAGTTTTTGCCGTGCAGGCATCCGCAAACAGCACCAGGTGGTGCAAACATCATGAAATAGATAAAGGTGAAATGTTACTTCCCGATGAACCCCTGGCTAAGATCTGTAATTAGATAGATACTGAAAACAAATCAGATACAGATTGATCCATGATGTCCACCGCTTCACCAACAAGACTTGAGCCTGAGCATGCAGGCTCGCACCATCAAATGTGCTATCAGATATTAAATGCTTTAGACTTTACACCCCACGCATGAGAGAATCCCTGCACCACCAGCACGCCAGCGCCCTTCCCCAATCTCCTCTTCGTCGAAGGGCGCTTCATACTTGCCGGCCTCTTTGATGCTGGTCTTTTCGTCATGGCTCCTTCCCTTGACGAATGAATTATGGAAAATCCCTGAGAGAGCCAATGCGCGCAATCCACAACCCTGAGACAACATACAAAGATGAGAGTGTTGGCCACAAACCCAAAACACTATAAGTGTTGAAAGCACTAACTTTCTCGAAAGTCCCTTTGAAGTAAAATTACGATTTTACTTGTCCCGGAGCAACCCTTTCGCACGAAATGAGGGTCGATGCGCAAAACTGAGGTAAAATTGCGATTTTACTTGTCCTGGAGCAACCAATTCGCACGAAATGAGGGTCGATCGTCAAAAACAAAGGAAAAATTGTGATTTTACATTTTACTTGTGCTGGAGCAACCCTTTCGCACGAAATGAGGGTCGATCGTCAAAAACTGAAGAAAAATTGCGATTTTACTTGTGCTGGAGCAACCCTTTCGCACGAAATGAGGGTCGATCGTCAAAAACAAAGGAAAAATTGTGATTTTACATTTTACTTGTCCCGGAGCAACCCTTTCACACGAAATGAGGGTCGATCGTCAAAAACTGAAGAAAAATTGCGATTTTACTTGTGCTGGAGCAACCCTTTCGCACGAAATGAGGGTCGATCGTCAAAAACTGAGGGAAAAATTGTGATTTTACATTTTACTTGTCCCGGAGCAACCCTTTCACACGAAATGAGGGTCGATGCGCAAAAACTGGGGTAAAATTGCGATTTTACTTGTGCCGGAGCAACCCTTTCGCACGAAATGATGCTCGATGCGCAAAAACTGAGGTAAAATTGCGATTTAACTGGTGTTGGATGTAAAAGGGTGTGAGTGTAAGAGTGTAAGCGTTTGTGTGTAAGAGGGTCTGTGTGTAAATGGGGTCCGTGATGGTCCGTGTGTCGCAGCTTCTGTGTGTCAAAGTGTCTGTGTGTAAAAGGGTTTGTGTAAAAGTTTCACTGATTGTGTGTAAGAGGGTCTGTGTGTAAAAGTGTTTGTGTGTAAAAGTGCCTGTGTGTAAAAGCGTCTATGTGTAAAAGCTTCTGTGTGTAAAAGCTTTTGTGTGTAAAAGCGTCTGCGTGTCAACGCTTCTGTGTGTAAAAGCTCTTGTGTGTAAAAGGGTCTTTGTTAAAAGTGTCTGTGTGTAAAAGTGTCTGTGTGTAAAAGTGTCTGTGTGTAAAAGCGTCTGTGTAAAAGCGTCTGTGTGTAAAAGCTTCTGTATTTAAAAGCTTCTGTGGGTAAAAGCTTTGTGTGTAAAAGCGTCTGTGTAAAAGCGTCTGTGCGTAAAAGCTTCTGTGTGTAAAAGCTTTTGTGTGTACAAGCGTCTGTGTTTAAAAGGGTCTGTGTGTGAAAGTGTCTGTCTGTAAAAGCTTCTGTGTGTGAAAGCTTTTGTGTGTAAAAGCTTCTGTGTGTAAAAGCTTCTGTGTGTAAAAGCTTTTGTCTGTAAAAGCGTCTGTGTGTAAAAGCTTCTGTGTGTAAAAGTCTTTGTGATGCAAACTATTGTCTTGCACTTCTTCTATTTTGTCTTGATACTCCTCTTCTCGACTGCCTATAACACATCTTTAATATATTGTTTGCAATATGGTGTCTCCATACTAACAAGAGAAGACCCTGCTCCTCTACGCTCTCGGGCGATCCGTCGTCTAGTTTTTGCCGCAGTGTAACGGTGGCTTCAAGCTGCTTTGGGTGTGCTTTTGTGTGTGCGTAGTTTTAGGGTGTTTTGGAATCTCCGGTTGCAGATCTCATTGGAATGGCTGCATGACTCTTGTCATCTGGTGTTCTGGTGTTGTTCTGTGCGTAGATAGGTGCAAGTTTGCGAGTTGATGCTGCGAACCGCATTGTAATGGCTGCATGATGTTGCGTGGGCTATATTTTGGGGAGGAAGCCGGAGCACGAAACCTTGTGTTTTTCCGTGTAAAGTGGCTGCAGGATGCTGCAGGCGACGATGAAAGGTACCTCGTGTGTGCGAGAGGTGCGGCTGGGGTCGGTTTGTCGTTTTTTTTGCCGCAGTGTAACGGTGGCTTGAAGCTGCTTTGGGTGTGCTTGTGTGTGCGTAGTTATAGGGTGTTTTGGAATCTCCGGTTGCAGATCGCATTGGAATGGCTGCATGACTCTTGTCATCTGGTGTTCTGGTGTTGTTCTGTGCGTAGATAGGTGCAAGTTTGCGAGTTGATGCTGCGAACCGCATTGTAATGGCTGCATGATGTTGCATGGGCTATGTTTTGGGGAGGAAGCCGGAGCACGAAACCTTGCGTTTTTCCGTGTAAAGTGGCTGCAGGATGCTGCAGGTGACGATGAAAGGTACCTCGCGTGTGCGACGGGTGCGGCTGGGGTCGGTTTGTCGTTTTTTTTGCCGCAGTGTAATGGTGGCTTGAAGCTGCTTTGGGTGTGCTTGTGTGTGCGTAGTATAGGGTGTTTTGGAATCTCCGGTTGCAGATCGCATTGGAATGGCTGCATGACTCTTGTCATCTGGTGTTCTGGTGTTGTTCTGTGCGTAGATAGGTGCAAGTTTGCGAGTTGATGCTGCGAACCACATTGTAATGGCTGCATGATGTTGCATGGGCTATGTGTTGGGGAGGAAGCCGGAGCACGAAACCTTGTGTTTTTCGTGTAAAGTGGCTGCAGGATGCTGCAGGCGACGATGAAAGGTACCTCGTGTGTGCGACGGGTGCGGCTGGGGTCGGTTTGTCGTT